AAAAAAAAAAAAAAAAAAAAAAAAATATTTGGATTATATTTACTTATACTAAGAAAAAGAAAAAGAGATTATATAATTATATATAATTTATTTCCAGATAAATTTTTAGAATATAAGAAAATTTACAATTATATAAGTTAAAATATGAATTTATACAAGTTTATTTTTGAAATATTACAAAAACTTTAATAAGAAATTAATTTATAACTAATAATTTGAAGTCAGATAAAACATCCGAAGATTACAAAAAAATACAAACAGAAATTATGCAAAACAAATAAAAAGATTAAAAATGTTAAGTAGTTTAGTTTAAACTGACAATACAAATTAGTTATAAATTTACTTAGTTTTAGAGTAGTGCAAAGAGAGTATTTGGATGTTTAGTTTTTTATTTTCCTTTTCCAATGTATTTAAGTAATTTTCTATGATTTTTTTTTTCACAAATATAGTATTACTTGATTTTCCTTTCCTATTGGTTCATATTTTTTTAGGTGACCAATATAAATTTTTGTTTTTGTAATTGCATATTAATAAACCATGTTATGCAGGCATTAAATTATTGGATAATAATAGTAGTAAAAATTAAAATTTTTATAAATTGGGTAATATCTTAATTAGTTCAATTTAATTCTTTATTATAGAAAATATAGTAAGTGATTAGTTTTATTTGAAAATATGTAAAATTGCATATTAATTACAAAAATATTAATTGATTTCGATAAAAATGACAACTTTTGGTATTTGAAGTAAACTTGCAGAACAGGTAAAAAATATGTCAAGTATCTTTTGAAAATTTTATATTATAATTGCTGCGCACAAATTCCGGGTGTAATAATATTAAATATAGTTATACCTGCTGAGTAGCAAATTTTATATGTATTTATTTATCTGTTCCTAGGAGATTTTGCAGAAAGATTTCATTTTCCAAATGAGAAAAACTTTCTTTTAATTTATCCGTAATATCAAAATTGTTTTTCAAGCGTGATATAGACTGATAGTTCTGAAGCTTTTTTAAATTTTCTCTCTTTTTTTAAAAATTGAAAACATGCGAAAGAAAATAGGATTCAACAATAAATTATACATGATCGGCCTATTAGCCGATCATATACCTATCCCTTTAGCCAGGATATAACCAATACATATATAATATTGCGATTTATGTTCATTACTGATCAAACTTTATTTCAGAATTAATAAATGCGTTTATAGAATCATGGTAAGTGAAGATTCAAATTCATTCCACCAATTCTTTGTAATTTGTTTTAAATCAATTGTTGATTCATTATTCCATTTTACATCAACGTATATCATGATGAATATGATCTCCGAGTTTTCTATAAATTGCATTACATCTCTTGTGATAAAATTAACTTTTCCATTATGTCTGTAACTCTCCCATTGAGAAATAAATGAGATCATATTTTTAATAATTTCAATATTTATTCCCCGAAAAACTTCTGAAAATACTGTAAACCAATAACGTTCCATAAACTTTAACATTGTAGATAGAGACCAAGGCTGAGGATCTTTAACAACGTAGGTCCAATGGTCATCGAAGCATTGTTGAAAATGGAATGAAATTGCAGATGGAAGCAAATTATTGAGATTTGTAATAATTTTTGTCACAAGATGCTCTTGAGATAATTCAATCTTTCTTGATAATATACATTCTGGAACACATAGTGTCCTTTCAAATATTATTGATTTTCCTATTGATTCTTTCCTCTTATGACCATTATTATCGTTCAAGATTTGTGCGATAACTTCTTGCGAAATAAGATTATTATTACTTGAAACTGCATATGAATCCCTTCTTTTATTCTTTGGTGCATGGATTGAATCGTCAAGAGATGAAAACTCTTGATTATAGTTATTTTGTGTTGAAATCGCTACAAATTTATTCTTTGGTGCATTAATTGAATCATAAAGAAACGAATTATAATTATTTTGGGTTCTAAATGAAATTGTATTGTTGACTGGATTGTTTCCTTGATTCATTGGTGCATGGATTGAATCGTAGAGGGAAAAATTTTCTGGATTATGTAACTTTTGTTTCGGAATCGCAGATGGTATAGGATAATTTTGTGACTGAACTTCATACGTTGATACTTGATTTTGTGTTAAGGATGAAAAATCCAGTGGGACATCATCACAATCCATCATCATTGTGTCAGCATCCTATTGTACAAATTCACCAGATTGAAATTCGGCAATATCTACTTTAAAGTTGAAATGACTAACGAATATATATACAAAATACCTGACCGTGTCCTAATTTTCCATTGTTATCTTTAGGTTTTGTTGTAATGTTTGATTCATTAGGAAAATACTTTTGAGGATTCACTTCATTATTCTGTAAATATATTATTTCGTCAGAGTCGGACCTTTCTTTAGATAATATTTTCTCCAAAATACTATCAAATCCTTTCGACTTCTGATAAGATGCCGTTATTACATCTAAATATTCTAACATTATATTTTTTTCTTTGTGAAATGAAAATAAATAAATATTAAAAGCACACACCGTGAATCATCGCTTTTACGCACAAATTTTTATCATTAGATAAAAGGACAATAGGACATTGTGAGACCATTTGAAAGTATCTTGAAAAAAATCAAATTGTTAAAAAGCAATATTTTAAAGAAGTTACATGTTAACTAATATTAAATAAATCAACAAACCTACAACAGTCTAATATTTTATCATCATTATTCTTAAATTAAATTTACATATTCAATTTAAATAAATTTATTATTATATATATATATTCAATAACTAGGCAAAACTGATTTTACCTCATTTATTTCTATTCTTTCATCAATTTTTTGTCCGCGTAATCCTTCCTCCCTGTTAATTAAGCAGCTGTGCAAAAATTTAATTGCGGTTTGTGCCAAATTCCCAACTTCGTGTTGACTTGACGATGACTTGTTCTTCCACAGAGCACTTTTTAACCCATCAAGTTCTTGTAAAACTATCCATGGTATTAGAATAAGTAGTTTGTACTTTTTTGCATGTTCAAAAATGAGAGCTTTCAAGAAGGCAAGGTGTGATATCAAGAAGTTCGTGTCAACGACTACCACAGAAATGTATTGAATTTTTTCGAGAGATTGTTCAGCAACAAATTCTTGTGTCTAGCTAATTTATATCAGAGTTAAGCAGCATGAATTACAAAAACGCGTTAACAAGAAAACACACACCGTTAAAGAACTCTCATAATGCGCTTCTAAAATGTTATCTTTACGGAACTCTACAATTTGCGAAGTGATGTCTTGTAAAACATATTCATCGTCAATGTCCATAAAATCACAAAAATCGTCTGCCATCTTTATGGAAAAGGTACAAACTAAAGGGTTACATTTTCCCGTGTCGTTTAACTGGCACGATTACGTAAACGGATGTTCATTGTTATGGAAAAATATAGTGATACAGTGGTGCAAAAATTACCTTCTCGTATTACTTTCTTGACCCGTCAAAATATGCATGATTATGTATGACAAAAATGGTCACCACTTAATTCTGGCCGAAAATTATAATTTTGGCCAGAGTTAAAAAACCATAAATTTTTTTTCAAAAATTTCAATTTAAATAATAAATATGTAAAACAAACCTTATTACTAATTACACTAAAATTTTGAAAATTATATTGTATTTTACTTATAAAATCAAACTTTTCTGTTTTTCTCAAAAACTATTTGAATAACAGCCTTTATAATCTAAGAGAAATATAAATTTACATATAGTAATAATATTTATATTATAATTAGAATAATATTCCAGTCAAAAATTTTGAAAATTCAAAAAATATTTTTATATGTGATGATGATCATCACTGATAATTTTTAGTAAAATCCTATTATATTTATATTTAACAAAAATAACATTCTTTTAATATGGTTTTTTTATTTCTACAATATTAATAAAATTAACTTTATTTATAAAAATAACAGTCAATAAATAGATTAATTACATTAATTAGGTTAGTGTTTTACATGAATCGAATCAATTCAAATCAGTTTAAATTTAAATTTGATTTAGTCGAATCAAATTTAAAAATTTCAAATTCAAATTATTCAAATCTGATTCAAAATTTAATTTAATTCAATTTGATTTGATTTAAATTTGATCTTATTCAAATTAAATAAAGTTTAATAAGTTTGAGATTTAAGTCAATTTGGTTTGATTTGATTTGAGATTTGATTTGATTTAACAATTTGATTTGATTTGATTTGGCTATTTGATAATTTAAATGATTTGAACAATTTGATGATTTGATTTGATTTGATAATTTGACAATTTGATAATTCAATTCAAATTATATATAATAAAATATAAATCAATTAGTAAAATTTATTAAAAACTACTATTTATTTTATTTATTTGCAATTTAATAATATTTAATATATTAATTATTTCAAATAAATTTGTATTTTTGCGATAATTTTTAATACATTAATTATTTAAAATAAAAAATGAAAAAAATTATAATTATTCAAATATATCATCCAATAATCTGTTCTGATAACCAAATTTTAAGCATATGTAAGATCTTATAGTTTTTTCTGCCAATTTGTTACATTTGTTAGTAATTAAATTTTTACTAGTTGAAAAACATTTTTCTGAAGGCACACTAGTAGAAAGTATAGCCAAATAATTCATTGCCATTTTGGCTAGTCTAGTCTGAAAAACTGAATTTGATTTATCTTTCACTATTAAAGTAAATCAATATTTTTATCATAAACTGGTGACAGAAAATATACTTAAAATTAGAGCTCCGAACAGGTCAGCCAAATTCAGGTAACCTGACCTGACCTGACCTGAAATTCAGGTCAGGTATGAGATTTTTGAAAAAAATTCAGGTCAGGTATAAAGATTGACCTGACCTGATTGACCTGTTGACCTGAAACTATTGATTCTACTATATAATAAAAGTGAGTTGCAGTATTGCGATTCACTTTTTTATATTGATTTTGTATAAAAAAAGTGAGTTGCGGTATTGCGATTCACTTTTTTATATAGATTCTATATAAAAAAAGTGAGTTGCGGCATTGTGATTCACTTTTTTTATATAAAATCTATATAAAAAAGTGAATCGCAATACCGCAACTCACTTTTTTTATATAAAATTTT